TCCAGGGGCTGCGAAGACTTTTCCCCTGTTTCATTTCAGGTATGAGGTTGGACTCCAGTCGCTGCGGCAAGGGCAAATCGTACGCTGCGCACACACTGAATAATTGCTCTTTTTTTAATTAAGTAGTTGTCATTTTCTACAGGGTGACACAGAACAGGTGCTGTGAGCTTCCGTATATGCTGCCTGCCCGAACAAATGGGGGAACGGAAGCATTTTGGAGTTAAAAGTTCACTCCCTAGAGCCAAGATGGAGTGAACAAAAGGCAGTAACTACTCGACGGTTGTGTTAATAAACCCGCAGCAGTGTGATCTGGTCCCTCTTGTGCCTGCGTTGCCTGATACTCCTGTGTTCTTACACCCAGCTCCCTCTCCGGCCGTCGGGGACACCTTGAAATCTTTGGGAAACTTCTTTCCCCTCCTTTTTTTTTTTTTTTTTAAACACCAGATGACAGAGCATTCCCAGTCCTAGCTTGTGCAAGTGGTGAAGCTGAAATACGAGCTGCTCGCTGCAGTGCTCAGTCTTTCCCAAGAAGGACCGGGGGAGTGTCTTGGGTTTTTAGTAAGGCTGCGTGGGTGTGCATATTAAACTGAAATTCTGCTGTGCTTGGCTACCTCGGGGACTAGTTTATAATCACTGGGCAAATATGCTGTGTGTAGGAGAAATACTTAATTTCATGAAATTCGTTGCATTGTGCTGGATGCTAGATTGTGATTGGGAAATATCAGTCGGTGAAAGCAGAAGGCAGAGCTTGGCAGAGGCGGCGGATGGCTTTAAACAAAACCCTCCTCGCTGCTCAGGGACTGCGATGCACCGAGGAGAGGTTCTAGGGGAAAAAAATTGGGCGGAGGTGGGGGACTGGGGCTGCCCAGCTTTCTGGGGTTTGACAGCGCACCTGGAAAACGGTAAACGCCGCGAGCCATTTGTTAGGAGAAATAAAACCTCCTAAAAGTCATGGGAGGGGGTTGCAAATCTCTCGAGCTGAAGGAGAAGGAGCGATTTCGTTTCAGAATGTGAACAACAAACCTGCCAGAGCAGTCACGGTCGCCAAGGGGAAAACATTTGGCTAAGGAAGAGTATTTGTAAAGCTGCTACCGAAGGAAGCGTAATAAGAAACGTTTAAAAAGCCACGGCCTCGGTGATTTTCCAGGATAGCCTCGCTAGCAGTAAAGCAGTTTCTAGCTTTGCAGAGCTCGGAAGACCGTTCGGATCACTTCGGATGCAACCATTTGTACCCCAAAAAAGCTCCAGTTGTCATATTAGATAGCAAAAGCGAGACGGCCTCCCCCGGATCATAGTCTTTGCCATCCTAAAAACCTCAGGGCTCTGCAACACGTGCCCTTTCCCTCCGTGAACCAGCCGGCTCTGTCCTGACCCGGCTCTGGAGACCCAGACCCCCCGGAGTTCCTTC